AAATATGTAAAAGAAGTTAATGAATTCGGCCGTATATATTGGGCAGGCCAGTGGGTTGGTATGAGGTGTGAAATGATTATTTACTTTTCGAATTTGAATTGGACAGTGTTGTTTGGTCCATGAGGTCTACCACATATCTCATTTTGCTAATCGGAACCGTTCAATATATAGAACTCGTCAAGTACTATATACTTGTAAAAAATCACGTTGATTTAATGTCAATAACTATTTGATCATGTTAGTTTTTCTTGTCAATTATTAATTATAACACTATTCATTTTTTATACAAAACTAATTTGATTATGTAGCTAGCATTTCCAATCAACATGATTTTTTATAAGTATATAGTTCTGGATGCGTTTTATATATTTAACGATTCGGATTATTAAAACGGGATCCGTGGTGAGTCCCAAAGGCCCAACATTTTTGACCAACTTAATAATTTTATATATGTAATTCTTTCTTTTTCTCGCTGTACTAAAGGGTCAATTCAGCCCTGAAAATTGTGCAAAGTTTGTTTGATTAAAATATTGTGTATATTAATTTTTAAACATTTTTAATTTATGAACAGTGATAATTTTATATATTTTTTTTTATAACTTTTTAATTTTTTAATTTTTTTAAAACACGTCAAACTAGACCTAAGACTCATAATTTTATGTTAATGGATTAAAAAATATAAAATATAAAATAAGATAACGTGATATGTTAAATTATTAATAATTTTTCACAAACGGAGGGAACGTTGAGAGATTAAAAGAAAGAAAATAGAGTTGAAATGTGTGTACTTGATTGTACCGCGTCAAAAAAGGTGTTTTCCGCGTAGCAAACGCGTTACCGCGTGCGGAATTCAATTTCGAACTTTTTTAACTTTTTATTTTATATTTTAAGACAAAATTTCATAAAAAAAAATTTATTTAAAAAAAAATTGATAATCCACATCGATTTTCCAATCACTTTTGAGTGGGGTGTATTAATTATTTAGCCAATTGGCCAATTGATTTTTATCTATTTTTTAAAGAAAAATGCTAAACACTATCTTAAAGACTATCATTAGGTTAGGTTTGGCCAATCTTAAAAAAAATTAAAAATTAAAAAGTTATTATCTTATTTAAATTATATCATTCCTCTATTATATCATTTCAAACTCAATTTATACAGTTATTTAGGGTGTCATAAATAAGTATATTTTTTGTCTTTTTAAATTAAAAAACTGAGAAAGAAAATATGAATGTTTAGGTTAATTTTTTAACTTTTTATAGAAAAATGTGTAATAAAAAATTATAAAAATTGATTTGTAGGGAAAAATTAGGATTATGAGTTGTGCAGCCGTAATTGTTGACTTTTGGTGAATAGTGTTAACTTTTTAATTTTTTGAGTAACTTTTTGACTTTTTTGCATTATGCCAAACTTGGCCATAAAAATTTAAAAAGTGTACTTATTTAGATCATCCCAAACAACCTTGTTTTAGAAAATGATTTTTTGTTTTAATTTATTGACTTTATTATGAAAAAATGTATAAAAAAAGTAGAAGGTAATATGATTTAAATAAATCAATAAATTACTTTGTTTGGTTCTAATTTTGAGAAAATTTTACTTTTTTATTTTTCGTATTTTAATATTTTCAATGAATTTTTTTAATATTTTATTTTGTTTTTAATTTTTAGATATACTTAACATAAATACCCTTAAAAAGTATAATATTTGTGAAAAATCTTTAAAAAATAAACTAAATACCAAAAAATATTTAAAAAATAAAAATTCAGTACATTTTTCGTATTTTTATGTATTTATTAATTTTTTAAAATATTTTTTTACCAATATTTTACTGTTTAATACATCTAAGTAAGATATATCTAAGCAAGGTACATCTAAAAAAGTAAAAAAAAAATTGCTTAAAATTTTAAAAATATTCATTAAAAAAATACAAAAAAAAAAACTCAATTTTTAGAAAACTGAATTCAAAAAACTGAAACCAAAATAAGTTTTTTTTTTTTTTTTTGGTTTTCCAAAAGAGCCCTACATATTGAAATATTTTGAGATACTATGAGTTCGTTTGGGAAGTAGGTTGACTTTTCGACTATTTTAGCTTGAGGCTAAAAAGCCTCGCTTGGGAAGGGTTTTTTTTTGCTTTTTTGACTTTTTGTGAGAGAAATAATATAATGATTATGGATTGAATGTGGTATTTTATCTTATTAGATTAAAAAGTTTATTTTGTCATTTTATGGCTAAAATAACCCTCAACCCAACCCAACCCAACCCTTCTTCCCAAATGAAGCTTATGGTACACACCTTTTGGTTATGTGTACCATATACACCTTACAATTATAGAAAAAACTTTAAAAAAAAAATCATAGCTAAACACAAAAAAAAAAAATAACAAAATATCTCAAAATAATGTTATAATTAAAGAATAAAATGACATAATTAAAAATCTATACTATATATTAAGCAAAATGGGGTTTTTAACCCCCAAGGCCTGTGGGAGCTCCAATATCCCAATCTGAATTTTCTAAATTTTTTATTTTTTATTTTAGAAAAAAACTCATCATTTGTTGATTTGGTCAAAATGCTCTCATCAGCATTTATTAACTTTTTTTAATCCACATGTCTTTCTACATGCTTGCATTTATTGATTTGGTCAAAATCTCCTTATCAGTATTTAAAATCCACTCAAACAAATAATTATAGAAACAATCCGTGTATAGTTACTGCAGTACCCTTTTCAACTTTTCCTATACACTATGGTTAGTGATAAGAGTGTTAAATTATTTTTATAAAAAATCTTAAAAAACATAATTTATATATTAAAAAAAATCCAAAACAAATATAAATATCTATAATTATCTCGTGCATAGCACGGGTGATAGGCTGGTATATATGATATAAAAGTAGGGGTACTTACATGTAGGTCCTAATAAGTAAACTTATTGTTTAATATGAGAAAAATTTGCCATAAAAAAAATCACTAATTGTAAATTTTAGCGACGATTTATAAAAACCATGACAAAAAAAAATCACTAATTGTCAATTTTTAACGACATATATAAAAAATATAACAAAAAATTATTTTTAGCGACAATTTTACTAAAACTTATTTTCAATAGGACTTGATGAGAATTAAATCCAACTATTATGACTTATTAATAGTTCACCCATAAAAAGTATGTATAATAAAATTCTCCATGATTTATCATTGTTTCATTTTGTATGTAGAGGTGAGGTTTGAAAATATTTGTGTTTTTCATTTATATTTATAAAAAAAAATTATAAATTAGATTTTGTTTGTTTTTAGGAAAAATATTTTTTTGGAGTTTATGATCCTTAGTTTTTAATTTGAGGGAACTTATTTATAAATTCAAAAAATTACTAAATAAGTTTATATGACATTTTTTTAAAAATTTTGTATACATAAACAAAAAATTGAAAATAAAATTTTTACCAAACAAGTCCTTATTTATTTATTTTTTTTATCCATAGAAAAATATTTGTTTATTTTCTATTTTGAGATATTAAATTTCGTTATATTTTCAAAACTATTTATTATAAATCAATAAATACATTTTAAAATTAAAATAGAAGGATAATAATAATAAAAAAATAAAATATTTAAGACCCACAAAATATCTCTTACAATTTGAAAAAGTTATTAGTAAGTCTTGGACCACTCCCATGTGGTGACTTTGCGGTGTTGAGATTGGTAGAGAAAGTAAGACTCATGAATTTGTATTGAGAAATTGGAGAACATAATAAGCATAGTAAATTATAATTGATTAGGGACATTGTTACGTGGTCCTCTTGAATCAATTAATAATTTTTTTTCATAATTTAAACTATAATAATATAATAGGACATAAGTAAATTTTTGATTTGACATAAGTTTATCTCTCTTATCCCACACGTGTAGGTTTAATTTTTGAATTCGAATAGCAAATATGAATGTAGTAATGTCTGCCTACTAAGGTCAAGTTTGAGAAGATTAAATAAGTGTACTTTTTGACTTTTTATGAAATATGGGTTAGATTTGGGTTGAGTTTGAAGTGATGTGTTAGAGAGGTGATGTGAGTTAAATAAGATGATGTGACTTAAATAGAATAGTGACTTTTTGATTTTTTGAATTTTTTTGAGGATGCCAAACTTGACCTAATTATCACATCAAATTTATCTCTCTTAATTTTTGAATTCGAGTAGCAATTATTCGTTAACCAATTCGGTCCCTGATCTAAAAAAAAAATAAAAAAACCAACGCGGTCATTCAACTGCAAAACTTTAGGCTCTGTTTGTTTGTATTCCTAAATCAATTTTCTACGTGTGTTTTGGAGCATCATGTTTGGTTACGTTTTCAAATCAATTTTCTACACTCTCTGCAGAGAACTCTGCGCACACAGGCGTGTTTTCTGTCCACCGGATGACCACCCGGTAGACCACCCGGATGTCCACCCGGATGTCCGGCTGATTTCCAGATTTTTTTTTTTTTTTTTGGCAATTTTTTTACATAATCGGGACAAATATTTTCTGAAAATTTTTAAATTTTTTATGTGCTTTAAAATAATTTTGAATTGTATATTTAGTTATGAGTTGTAAATTTTTGTATCACATATCAAATGTCACATCAATAATTCCCCACTCAAATCAAACCTCTTTTCCAAAACTATTTTCAAAACTCTTTACCAAACAAATTTTCTACACTCCAATCATAATTCCACAACACACAAACTCAAAATATAACTCATACTCTCAAATCACATTTACAAAACTCTACCAAACGCTACCTTAAATCTGCTTTCAAACTCTGACCTCACATATCAAATGTCACATCAATAATTCCCCACTCAAATCAAACCTCTTTTCCAAAACTATTTTCAAAACTCTTTACCAAACAAATTTTCTACACTCAAATCATAATTCCACAACACACAAACTCAAAATATAACTCATACTCTCGAATCACATTTACAAAACTCTACCCAACGCTACCTTAAATCTGCTTTCAAACTCTG